CTTGTGACCAAGACAGAATAAAAGGTATCAGAATTACTCCTTACCTAAAACAAAACAAACAAAATCTATGAAACAGTGATTTTCAGGACACTGGACAGCAGTCAAAACTGATCCCTAAGAAATAAGAAATAAAGGAATTCAGCCCTGTCATTGTCCCAGCTTACTGACCTAAAAGGGTTTTTAGGCTGAGGCACAGCAAGAAGGCAAAGTCACAGCAGGTCTACTAGGGTAGACCCCTTGAGTAGAAGAGGCAAAGCTTAGAATTTGGGGAAGCCAAGTCGGCTAGATTTCACAGGACAGAATCCCAGAAAAGAAAGAGCTGCACAGAGAAAATTCCAGAGGTGTCCACTGGGTCCCCTTGAGTATTCTGCTGAGACCTGCTCAGCACTTCCATGGAAGAAAATTGCTCAAAGCCAGGGGAAATACCACCCAAAATAATTAGAGAGAAGAGTACCCAGCATTCACACCAGGCTGGGGATAGTGACAGTTTCTTCCAGCCAGACTAGAAAGCCTCAATTCGGAGGGCATCAAATATAGTACTCAAAAAGGTCTTGCCTCAGCAGTGGAAATAATGAGCCCTATGCTGGTCCTACATAAAAGAGCTTAAAAACATAACCCAAAAGGTCAGCCTGTTTCCAGGTAGTTTAACTGCATCTGAGAACAAAGCTAAAGAATAATTATAGAAACACAAAAATATCTAGGACCCAACAAGGTAGAATTTACAATGTCTGTAGTTCAGTTAAAAAGTACCAGGCATGAAACAAACTGGAAAATATAACTCCTCATGAGGAGAAAAAGCAATCAATTGAAACCCATCCAGAACTGACACAGATGTTAGAATTGACAGAGAATGGCATTAACCCATTTATGCCTAGTGTTCCATTATTGGAATGGTAAGCTTGTGGGAGTTGTTTATATCCTACTGCTCAAGGTCATCACCAAGTTGTGATTTTTCACACACAAAAAATTGCAACCTCCAGTCTAAATGGGGTAAAACAGTCATTATAATTGTGTTTCATATGTTCAAAAAAGGTTAAGTATAGATATGGAAGACGTAAAAAGATATCTATATGTCTATATTTACATCTATATCACACATTTTTTTTTCTCTAAAAGTTTGATTTGAATATACACACACACAAACATATACGTGTGTGTGTATGGGAATTAACAGCAGATTAGACATTGCTGAAAAAAATTAGTTAACTTGAAGATAATAGCAATAGAAACTATCTAAAATGAAAACAGAGAAAAGTGAACAGAGTACCAGTGAGCCATGAGACAACTTCAAGTGGCCTAATGTGTGGGTAATTGGAATTCCTGGAGAAGAGGAGACAGAAAAAGAAGGATGAAAACATATTGGAAGAATTAATGGTAAAATTTTGCCTAATTTGATGACAACTGTAAACTCACAGATTTAAGAAGCTCAGTGAATCCCAAGCATAAGAACCTTGAGGAAAATTTTTCCAAGGTACATCATAATCAAATTGCTCCAAACCATTGATAAAGAGAAAATCTTAAAAGCGACTAAAGGAAGAAGATACATTATGTACACTACAAAGCTAAGGTCAGGGTGACAGCTGATTTCTTATTTCAAATAATGCGAGTGAGGAGACCATGGAGCAATGTCTTCAAAGCAATGAGGAAAACCTGCCACCTGAAATTCTTTATTCAAAAAATACATCTTTCAAGAATGAAGATGAAATAAATGTTTTAGACTTACAATGCTGAAAGTTTTCCTTACTAGGAGATTCATACTGCAAGAAATGTTATAGGAAATCAGGCAGAAGGATTTTCATAACAGATAGAAATCTAGAACTAAGGGAGGAGACCACCCCTCATATTGTCTTATGTCCAATTTCTGCCTCCAAAGAAAGAAGATGTAAAAACTAAAAGGCAGAAATGAAATCCACAAGCAGACAGCACAGCGCCACACCCTGGGCCTGGTAATTAAAGATCGACCCCTGACCTAATTGGTTATTTGCATAAAAAAGGCACTGTGAAGATCCCTGCCCTGTTTGGTTCCTTTCTAATTACCAGTGTATGCAGCCCCTAGTCATGTACCCCCCACTTGCTCAATTGATCATGACCCCCTCATGCAGAACCCCTTAGAGTTGTGAGCCCTTAGAAGGGCCAGGAATTGCTCACTCAGGGAGCTCAGCTCTTGAGACAGGAGTCTTGCCGATGCTCTGGCCGAATAAACCCCTTCCTTCTTTAACTCCAGTGTCTGAGGGGTTTTGTCTGTGGCTCTTCCTGCTACAGATCCACACAAAAAAAAGAGCAATGGGAATGGTAACTACATGGGTACTTATGTTAGATTCTCCTTTAATTTTAAAAGTCTTCCAAAAATTGACTGACTGTACATCCAATGGAATATTATCCACCATAAACAGGAAATGAAGTTTTGATACAACAAGTAGATGAACTTTGAAAACATTATGCAAAGTAAAAGAAGCCAGACACAAAAGGTTATTCTGTAGTTCCATTTATATGAAATATCCAGAATAAGGAAAATCATAGAAACAGAAGATAGGTAGTTGCCAAGGACTTGGGGGTGGGAGGACTGGGGAATAATTGCTTAAGAGGTGTGGGTTTTTTTTTACTCTGGGAATGGTGAAAATGTTCTCAGACTAAATAGAGGTGGGGGCTACTTAATCCTAAATGTCACTTAATTGTTGACTTTAAAGTAGTAAATTTTATGTTATGTGCAGTTCACTTCAATACAAGAAAATTTTAAAGATTAATTGACTTGTTTCAATGAAAATAATGACAAAGTAGTATGAAGTTTATAACGTATATAAAATTAAATGTATGGCAGAAATAGCACAAAGACCAGGAAGCAAGAAACGGAAGTAAATTAGCATAAGGTTTGTAAGCCAAAAGTATCTGAGACAGGTCTCAATCAATTTAGAAAGTTTATTTTGCCAAGGTTAAGGACACACCCATGACACAACCTGAGGAGGTCTTGATGACGTGTGCCCAGGGTGGTTGGGGCACAGCTTGGTTTTATACGTTTTAGGGAGGCATGAGACATCAATCAATGCACGTAAGATGTACATTGGTTTGGTCCAGAAAAGCGGGACAACTTGAAGTGGGGACTTCCAGATCATAGTTAGATTCAAAGATTTTCTGATTGGCAATTGGTTGAAAGAGTTATTGTCAATAGAAAGGAACATCTGGGTTACACTAAGGGGTTGTGGAGACCAAGGTTTTATCATGCAGTTGAAGCCTCCAGGTAGCAGGCTTCAGAGAGAATAGATTGTAAATGTTTCTTATCAGACTTAAAGAGTCTGTTCAATCTGAAATTCCGGAAGGAAGGATGGTATAAGGAGGCATGTTCAGCTCCCCATTCCCATCATGGCCTGAACTAGTTTTTCAGGTTGACTTTGGAATCCCCTTGCTGAGAGTAGTAGTCCATTCAGATGGTTGAGAGGGGGGCTTAGAATTTTATTTTTGGTTTTTGTACTCCATGTGAAGTGATATAATATCACTTGAAGTTACCCTGGGATAAGTCAAAGATGTGTACTATAAACCCTAAAGCAGCCACTAAAATAACAAAACAGAGCTATAGCTAATAAAGCACCAAAGGAGGGAAGGGGGAAGCATAAGAGCTCCTCAACCCAGAAGAAGATGGTAAAAGGTAAATCTCAAAATAATTATATTCAGTCAAAACAGCTAGATAGGTTGGACACAGTGGTTCACACCTGTAATCCCAGCACTTTGGGAGACTGAGGCGGGTAGATCACTTGAGGCCCGGAGTTTGAGACCAGCCTGGGCAACATGGTGAAACCCGACCTCTACTAAAATTACATAAATTAGCCGGGCATGGTGGTGCACGCCTGTAATCCCAGCTACTCAGGAGGTTGAGGCAGGAAAATCGCTTGAACCCAGGAGGCGGAGGTTGCAGTGAGCCGAGATTGTACCATTGCACTTCAGCCTGGGTGACAGAGTAAGACGCTGTCTCAAAAAAAAAAAAAAAAAAGAAAGAAAAAGAAAAACAGCTAGACAAAAAAATACATACTGTATGATTTCCCCTTATTAAAAAAAAAAAAAAAACTAGAAAATGTAGACTCGTCGATTGTAACTGAAAACACATCAGTGGTTGCTAAGTTGGGGGCAGGGGGTAGGTTTATCAAGAACATGGATGTGTTCACTACCCTGGTTGTGGTGATGGTTTCATAGGGGTAGAAATATGTCAAAATTTATCGCATTGTGTACTGTAAATATGTGCAGCTTATTGTACAGAAGTTATACCGCAATAAAGCTGTTTTGATTAAAACAACAACTACTCTGTGTTGGATGGTATTATTTTCTCCACTGTATAGATGAAGACGCATAGGCATGCAGAGCTTAATGATTTGCCTGAGGTCAAGTAAACCCTGGGCACCTGGCTTGAAGTCTATATGGAACAAAACAAACAAAGAGAAGTGAGACCGCTTCAGAGGGAACCATAGACCCAAAGGACAAATAGTAGAATTTCAGGAAGGGAGGATAGGAGGACATTTCAGTCATTTCAGAGAGCACGAACCACAGACACAAAGCGCATGGCGTGTAGGGCACAGTGCGCAGTTGGGAATGGGAGTCCCAGATGTGCATGTGTGAGTGGGCAAGGGGCAGAAGAACAGACCAGACCTGTCCAGGGGGACCTTGGCTGGGATTGGCGTAGGGAGCTCCTTGGATCCCATGCTAAGGAGTTGAACTTCCATCCGCTAGGACATGGAAAGACTTAGAAGTGTTTTCAGGAGAGCGATGGGCTCGGGTGACTCTTGAGGATGATATGTATGGAATGAAGGATGGCTGGGCTCCCCAACCCTCCTGGAGTCTTCATAAGCAGGGACAGTCTTGTCTGATGTTGCTCCCTCCAGGTTCCCAGTGCATCTCCATTGTAAACCTTTGGTGGTCCTCAGAATCCCAGGTCTGTGAACTCTGAAAGACTGTTCTCCTCCACCCTCCTCTACTCACTGTTCTTTGGGTTTGGGTCCATTCCTGTCCCCTTCCAGGTTCGAGGGGAATTGCTGCGGGAGAGAGTGCAGCGGCTGGAGGCACAGGAGGGAGGCTTTGCACAGTCGCTTGTTGCTCTGCAGTTCCAGAAGGCGGCCCGGGTGACCGAGACCCTGTCAGCCTACACCGCCCTCCTCAGCATCCAGGACTTGCTCCTGGAAGAGCTAAGTGCGTCTGAGATGCTGACCAAGTCGGCCTGCACGCAGATCCTGGAATCGCACAGCCGGGTGAGTGCAGGCGCTGGGAAGGAGAGGCAGACAGAGCTGGTTCTTTCTGGTACCTACCTCTGCATCTTCCCCTGTGGAATAGGCTGCAACCCTTGTCCTGTCTATGCTGCAGGGTTGTGATGAGGATTAAATGAAGTGACTTATTGGAGAGTACTTTGCACTCTCTCAACCAAAGATGGCTCTATTTCATTGCTCTGAGAAGCAACCCTTTTGGATTTTAACATCTCTGAACCTTGGCAGTTGCCATGGTTTCATTGGCAGTATTGTTTCTTTCGTTATACTAGGGAGGACAACAGTGTATCTTCCAATTAGCACATCCTAAATGCAACAATATATTGGGTTATTTATTATTTTAAAAATTCTAGTTATTAGCATTATCGCAATGTGCTACATTCTTTCCAAAATGTGCGAGGTATATCCATAAAACAAAAGCTATTGTAATAACTGTTTTGGTGACTAATTTTAGGTCTTTTATGTGTAGATTTTAGAATTTCATTTATTATATATTATTATCATAATTACATATAGTGAGGAAAAAACCCCTCACATTTATTGAAACCCTAGTGTGGGGAGGGAAGCGCTACTAAGTTGTGAATAGACATGCTCTCACTTAAGTGTACGTAATTCTTTACTTAGTTATACTTAAGATTATTACTGAAGCATAATTAATAAGAAGGTACAATTTTATGCTACTTTACAATTACGCTGTTTGTCATTATATTCATCATTTAGCTGTGCAGTAAAGTAGATCTTGTTATTATACTTAGTTCTCAGGTAAAGAAACTGAGATTGGGGCAGATGGCAGGTCAAGTTCTTTGTGAAGACCACATGACTGATTGTGAAAGGAGCCAGGAATGGAATCTGTTTCTGACTTCAACCCATTATGTCATGTCTATGGACTACACCAGTTGAGTTTGCCATGTGAGGTTCCCATTACTTTCTTTAAAACGTAGCAACAGTAGATGCTGAAAAGTCTAAAAGTATTTCGGGAGTGGGCAGACACTATGCACCCTGCACTGTAACAACTATTTCAGGGATAGAAAGGAAGCAAAAGCATTGTAAGTAATTCCAGCACAAAATAGCCAGATGCTGGACATATAAAAATGAACATATTTTTAATGCTTTGTGAGCTCACAAGGGCCTATGGAAGAAAATCCCTGAAGATATGCAAGATATATCCTAGATAAGGTGAACTCACGGAGATAGGTGGGGGCAACTTCAGGAGCCAGGTTTACCTCGGAACAAAGGCTGAAACCTGCAGCACAGAGACTTGGGATTAATTTTGGAGGAGTGGGAGATGAGGCTGTGGGATGTCTCAGTTAGTGAGAACACCCAGCGAGGGGTGGGAGGAGAAAGCCGCCTGCTGGCAGAACCCATCTCCACACCTGCTCCAGGTGAAGCTCTTCCTGTGAGTTTTTAATCGAAGGCCTCTGCTAACATGAAGAACGAATCCAAATGCGTTTTAGCCATCCAGTCACGAAATCTCCGAGGTGATAAATTAAAATAATTCCAGGTTAGTTCACTGTCTGCATGCAAAGACAGATCCTCTCCAGAAAAAAAATATTCTCAGTGGAGTAGATCAGGATTTCCATAGATCAAGTTCAGCCGAATGTGAGCTCTCAATTGAAGAAGAAAGTCACCGAACACATAAAGAAGCAAGGCAAGATGACCTGCATACAGGAGAAACAAACAAAGCCAGATTACGATCCCTGAATACTTTAGAGATCCAAATTATCAACACAGAATCTAAAATAATAATAATTTGTGAAATTGTTAAAGATATTACAAAAATGATTTAAATTTTTTTTTTTTTTTCTGTTTTTCAGACAGAGTCTTCCTCTGTCGAGCAGGCTGGAGTGCAATGGCCCAATCTTGGCTCGCTGCAGCCTTGACCTCCTGGGCTCAGGCAATCCTCCCACGTCACCCCTCCAAGTAGCTGGGACCACATGGGCATGTGCCATCATACCCAGCTTTTTTTTTTTTTTTTTTTTTTGGTATTTTTTGTAGAGATGGGGTTTTACCCCATCTCAGCTGGGCTCAAATGATCCTCCCGCCTTGGCCTCCCAAAGTTCTTGGATTACAGGTGTGATTTAAAAATTTTATTCACCTGGAGCATATAGTGAGTTTAACTTGCATATATTTAATAAAAGACTCAAAATAACAACAAGAACAATTGCTAGAACAGGGAGAAATTGATAAATCTGTCATCATAGTGGGAAATTTCAGCATACTTCTGTCAGTGGTTGATTTATTGATCAAATGAAACACAGGTAAAGATATAGATGAACTAAACAACACAATTAACAAGGTGTTTTAATGCACATATAAATAATCTTATAGCCAAAAAAATAATGAATATATATCTCCAGCACACATCAGAACAGTTAAAAATAATTGACTATACAATATTATTTTAATACCTTTTGACAAGGGGAAATTAAGTTTAATTCATTTTTAAAAAGATGATTATAAAGTGTCCATAATTTGGACTTTGGAAATTTTTAAATTGATTTTGAAAAATCAATTTTAGGCCAGGCACGGTGGGTCACGCCTGTAATCCCAGCACTTTGGGAGGCTGAGGCGGGCAGATCATGAGGTCAGGATATCGAGACCATCCTGACTAATACAGTGAAACCCCGTCTCTACTAAAAATACAAAAAATTAGCTGGGTGTGGTGGCAGGCTCCTGTAGTCCCAGCTACTCAGGAGGCTGAGGCAGGAGAATGGTGTGAACCTAGGATGTGGAGCTTGCAGTGAGCCGAGATTGTGCCACTGCACTCCAGCCTGAGTGACAGAGCAAGACTCCATCTCAAAAAAAAAAAAAAAAAAAAATTCAATTTTAGAGGTTGATTTTAGAAAAAAAAATCAAAATTTTAGAAAAAAACAATTTTACAAATTTATTTTAAAACATGCTTTTGAATAGTTTACAGGTCAAGGATAACATAATGGAAATTTAAAAATACAGAGAATAACTGTGATATATGAAATTGTGTAAAATTCAGCTAAAGCAATTTTAAGAGGAAAATTTGTGCCCTAAACTGATATTAGAAAAGAAGAAAGGCTCACAATTAAGATTATATAAAAAGGGGGAAAATAACACATGTATTGTTTTTTATTTTGTTTACACCATGTTTCTTCTAAAACATACAGAAATTATACCTCAATAAATATATGTTTAAAAGTATGTGCATTTTGGGAGGCTGAGGCGGGTGGATCACCTGAGGTCAGGAGTTCAAGACCAGCCTGGCCAACACAGTGAAACCCTGTCTCTACTAAAAATACAGAATTATCCTGGTGTGGTGGCACATGCCTGTAGTCCCAGCTACTCTGGAGACTGAGACAGGAGAATTGCTTGAACCCAGGAGGTGGAGGCTGCAGGGAGCTGAGTTCATGCCACTACACTACGGCCTGGGTGAGACAGAGCAAGTTTCCCTAAAAAAAAAAAAAAAAAAAAAGTGTGTTTCTTCTGAAATACAGCATAAACAAAATAAAAAACAAAACTACCATAGAATTGAGAAAGTGAAGAGATTTTTTTGAGAAAAGTCTAATAAAATATACAAACCCTTGGCAAGAGCAACCATTAAGAAATATAAAAGACAATAATATTAAGAATATAAAAAGCAACATGACTATAGATGCAGTAGAGTTTTTTAAATAAGAGAATGTTGTCAACAACTTTATACAGATGAATTCAAAAACTGAAATGAATTCAAAAACTAGAAAAATGCAAATCACCAAAATTGGCTCAAGTAGAAAAAAAAAATGTCTATATAACCCTGTTGTCATGAAAGAAATTGATTCAGTACTTTAAAATCTTCCAAACCCACACAAAAGACACCCAACTCATTGCCAAAGTTTAAGGTATTTTGCCAATCTCATATATTAATTATTCCTGGTGTTAGAAAAATCGGGAATATTCCTCAACTCATTTTATCATGCTAGATAACTTTAACACCAAAACCAGACATGAACAGCACCAGAAAGAACAATTGTACTTCAATCTTGCATGTGAACATAGATGTACCATTTGAAAACAAAATAGCAGGATACAGCCATCTATAAAAAATTAATACATTATGGACAGGTTGGGTTTATTCTAGGAAGATAAGATTGGTTTAACATTAAAACATCCATTTACAAAATTCACCTGATTAACAAATTAAAGGGGAGTGACTCATGTGATCATTTTAGTATATAGAGAATAAGTCTTTATATTAGTCTATTCTTGCATTACTATAAAGAAATACCCTGAGACTGGGTAATTTATAAAGGAAAGAGGTTTAATCGGCTCATGATTCCACAGGCTATACAGGAAGCATGATGCATCTGCCTAACTTCTGGGGAGGACTCAGGAAACTTACAATCATGGTAGAAGGTAAAGGGGAAGCAGGCATGTCTTACATAGCCAGAGCAGGAGGAAGAGAAGTAGGGAGAGGTGCCACACACTTTTAAACAACCAGATCTCATAATAACTCCATCACGAGAAGAGCACCAAAGGGATTGTGCTAAACAATTCATGAAGGACCCCCGTGATCCAGTCACTTCCCACCAGGCTCCACCTGCAACATTGGGGATTACAGTTCGACATGAGATGTACCCCCACCCAAATACCATGTTCTTCTCACATTTCAAGATATAATTGTGCCTTCCCAGCAGTCCCCCAGAGTCTTAACTCATTCCAGCATTAACTCAAAATTCCAAAGTCTCATCTGAGACAATGTAAGCCCATTCCGCCTATGAGCCTATAAATTAAAACACAAGTTAGTTACTTCCAATGATGCAATGGAGCCATAGGCATTGGGTAAATATTCCTGTTCCAAAAGGGAGAAATTGGCCAAAAGAAGCAGTTACAGGCCCCAGGCAAGTCTGAAATGCAGATGGTAGTCATCAAATCTTAAAGTTCCAAAATAATCTCCTTAGACTCCATGTCTCATATTCAGGTCATGCTGGTCCAAGGGATGGCCTCCCAAAGCTTGGGCAGCTCAGCCCCTGTGATTCAGC